TTTTTTCCCTCAAAAAATAACCCGGGAAAATTAGATTTTTCTCCTTTTTTTTCCCTCAAAAAATAACCCGGGAAAAATAGATTTTTCCTTTTATTTTTCCTCAAAAAATAACACGGGAAAAATAGATTTTTTTCCTTTTTTTTTCCCTCAAAAAATAATCCCCGATAAAGGGCGCGAAAAGTTTGGAATTAATTCGGTGGGAAAAGGGTGGAAAAGGGGAGAAAATGACCCAAAAAAAGGGGGGAAAGGGGAGAAAATGACCCCAAAAAAATCTCTGCAAAAAGGGTGGAAAAGGGGAGAAAATGACCCAAAAAAGGGTGGAAAAAAGGAGAAAATGACCCCAAAAAAGGGGGGGAAAGGGGAGAAAATGACCCAAAAAAAGGGTGGAAAAAAGGAGAAAATGACCCAAAAAAGGGTGGAAAAAAGGAGAAAATGACCCAAAAAAAGGGGGGAAAAAAGGAGAAAAAATGACCCAAAAAAAGGGGGGAAAAAAGGAGAAAATGACCCAAAAAAGGGTGGAAAAAAGGAGAAAATGACCCAAAAAAAGGGGGGAAAAAAGGAGAAAAAATGACCCAAAAAAAGGGGGGAAAAAAGGAGAAAAAATGACCCAAAAAAAGGGGGGAAAGGGGAAAAAATGCCCCAAAAATTGAATGTTTCTGCCTGGTTTCGAACCAGGGACCTTTCGCATGTGAGGGGAAGGTGAGAACCACTAAGCTACAGAAACTTGGGAATTTTTGGCTCCGGGGGGTCCAAATTTGGGGGAATTCACACAAAAAAATTTATTTTGAAATAAGTTTAATTTAATTTAATTTCCGAATCAATGATTTATTTCCTCGGTTTCATTGTTTGACGGGTAAAATTTTAATTTCATCCGAAAATAATTAAATTTTAAACTGAATTAAGTTCGATTTAATTGGCAAATTAATTATTTATTTAATGCATTTAACTGTTTAATTAATCGAAAGTAATTTATTAATAAAATAATTACAGTAATCGTTGAAAATCCCTTTTCCAACCAAACCTGGGCAACGTTTAACCGTCACCCCCCAAAAATTTATTTTATTATTTAATTATTTGCCTAATTTATTAAATTATTTAATGTATTTAATTATTTATTTTATTTCCTTATTTCATTTATTTATTTTATTTATTTAATTATTTCATTATTTATTTTATTTTATCTATTTAATTTAATTTTATTTAATTAATTATTTAATGTATTTAATTATTTATTTTATTTTATCTATTTAATTGTTTTATTTTATTTATTTAATCATTTAATTAATAAAATCTAATTCAATCATTTAATAATAATTAAACTTTTCAATTAAAACCGCTCCTCGAGGGACGAAATGCCACCTTAAAAAAAAACCCTTTTTTTTTAAAAGAATTTGCCCTTTTTTAAGAGCGTTTTTTCCCCTACATTTAATATTTAGAATTTAACGGTTTAATTCGAGGAAAGATTTTGGATTCTAGAAACGAACGTTTGGAATTTAATGTTTCAATTTTTTAGAAAAGAAGATTTTAAAATGCAGAATTTAACATTCAGAATTTTAGAAAAAATTTAACTGCCACCCAAATTTTAAATTTTATAAATTAAAAAAAATTTTTATTTTTTTTTTAAATTAAAAATTAAAAAAACGAAGGAAAAGACCCCCAAAAAAATTGGATGTTTCTGCCCGGTTTCGATCCGGGGACCTTTCGCGTGTGAGGCGAACGTGATAACCACTACACTACAGAAACTTGGGAATTTTGGGATTTAAACCTCATGTAAAACAACAAAAACCCCAAAATCCCACCCCAAAAATCCCCCAGGAAACGTGAATTTAATTAAATTTTAATAGAATTATTATTAATCCCTTAATTAATCCCTTTGTCGCCTTAAACTATTTTAATTTAATTTTATTTTTTCTGTTAACTCGAATGAAATTTTAATAACATTATTAATGACAATATCAATAATTTTAATAATATTAAATATTATATTATATTATAATTAAATATAATAAAATAAAATTAATAATCTTAATAATAAAAATATTAAATAATTCCTCCATTGCTTTAAATTATTT